ATATAGTCAATTAATAATAAACAAAATGAGTAATAAATAGATAAATAAGTAAGAAATAATCGAGAAGAATATTTATAACACGTGTATAAATATGATATTATTATTATATACATGTATCATGCAGCTTATAATATAATGAAACACGAGATATATGGAATATATAATTGGAACATGAAATTATTTCACTTTGTTTGCATTTGGATGCTAATTAAACGATTAATTATTTCTTAATTTTGATTCTTACGTAAAATGTAGTAATAATTCCACTAGAATTATTTGGAGGAATTTTGAGGCTCATTTGAAAATCTCCGGAACCATATGCGAGTCTTGATATAAATCCACCACCTGAACATATATGATCATCCTCAAATAAGAAAAAATGTAAGCAAATATTTATTAATTAAAACTATAAAAATTTATGAATTAGAGTCGAAAACTGTAAATTGCATATAAAGATCGACACAATAACAATATCGTAACAATAATAAAATATTAATAACGAGAAATTATAACAACCGACCAGAGTTAGGATCGATCCGAATTTGAACTTCCGTGTTTTGATTCATATAAGTGATATGATCAAATCCCCAGGAAGGTACATAATTTTGGTAAAAGGGGCTTTGAACAGCTTCAATGGCACCACAATTATTAACAATAATACAGAAAAACATGGCGCATAGACTTATTATTATTAGATAGAGAGGAGCCATGAAAAATATTATTGCCATTTCATAAGTTTTAATAAAAGTTTAATATGATCAGTTGGTTGTTTATTCGAAGCACATATATATATATATAACAATTAATTACAACTCTATGAAAATTGACAGGCAATATTTGGTTTTGATAAAATTTATAATTGCCAGCTGCATTAATAATTCAGAATATTGCATGATCTCTACATGAATCTTATTTTTAATTCTTTGTGAACATTTTCACAATATTACGGAATTTACTAATGAGGATTATATATATAATGCACAATGCAAATTAAGCTTGACTTGATGAGAATAGGGTAATCATATTTTCCAATACGTAACATAATCGCCACATGAGTTTTATTACAAAAATGTAGAAATATATTGACTTTTATTGCCAAACCGTGAATCAGAAAATCTGAGCAAAAAATCCTGTAAATTTATCTAATAATGATTAAATGGGTGGGTGAATGTTTGGCCAATAACTACAATTCAAAATCATGATGATAATTATGTCCAATATGCAGCAATTCAATTAGAAAACTGAGACTTTTGTCAAAAAGCCTACAAAAATACAGCAGCAGCCGAAAGGAAATCTTACAAGTGGTTTTGCAGTTAGTTATTGACTTCGTTGTTACATATTTTCTTAGTAAATATGCCTATATATGTTTGGTAAAATTTGACTTATTAATATACATTTACGCAAGTTAAAAATATTTTGAGATCTAGCAGCTACTTTAGATACATCATCATCTTTCAACTTAATTTTCATTTACCAAGAATATGTTGTGAAAGAACTGAAGATCAAGCAAATCAACAGACAAATGTTACGGTTTCGTTACGGAACCATTCCGTCGAGTTTGTAACCGTTAGATCATCCAGTAACCGTCGAATATAGTTGATCTAACAGGACCGTAACATCACCCTAAATCAACCTATATATAATGGAAATTCTCTATAGTACTTGGTAAATCGTTATACTTCCTAAGATTCCTTTTTCAACTAAAAATGCAAATATGTATAGACTTTAGATGATTAGTGTAGTCTTTATCAAATTAGGAGTTTGTTTGAGTGTGAATTATTAGAGGATTAACCCAAGAGATTCAAGAGTTTTTGAAATAGATCAATGATTACAAATTTAATTATTATTTTTTATTTATCAAAGAACTTACCATGTGATATAGCACATAGAGTTAATAGGGTAAACCGGGGGCTCGGCCTTTTAGCTTTTCGGGTAGCGGAGCCAAAAGGAGCTCGACCTTTTGTGGGCTTCTCTTTTGGTCGTGCATGGAGCTCGGCCCAAATGGCGTAATAGCGGCGGCCCAGTTATAGATCTTTCAGTGGGCTCGGTCTCTTTCGCATTGGTTATTAGGAGCGGCGCATGCACGAGGGACACGTGTAACGTCAAGATGAGAAGGGGCTGGATCATCTAACGGGCAAGGACCAAGGCGTGGCAAAAACGCAATGTCAGTACTCAAAATAGGTAAAATTGGGCATAATTTTAAAATTGGTCCTCTAACTTGGCCACTTTCCAAAAATGCACCCCGCCATTGGCCACTTTCATTATGGGTCCTATAAATTGTTCATTCAATCAAAATTGGTCCTCTTTTATTCGCCCCCGGATTAAAAATGTGACATGGCGTTTTTAAAGATGACGTGGCGTGACTAAAGTTTACGTGGCAGGATTATGAAATATTTACCTAAATTAAATAATCCACATCATCTCCAGCCTTTAATTGCAATTAATTAAAACTTTCAAAATTGCACAATAGTCCTCAAAATTTATTAAATTCTAAAAATAATTCCTTGCAATTGTAAACTTCTGTACTCATCCGCTTTGCCGACCACCGTTGTCCTTTGCCGGCCGCCGGTCGGCCACCTCCAATTGAATTTTTTTTCGTATCATCTTGAAGCTCTTCTCCTCCTCGTTCACCTCCTACAATTTCCGGTGAAAATTCCACTTGTAAGGCAGTCAATTGCTCCGGACAAATTTTTTAGATCTTGAAAATTCTGGTCAAAATCCTCAATTTTCCGGCGATTCACGGTGACCCACCGAAATCCGAAGATACCACTGAATTCCTTAGACCATCGTGCACCCGATGACGTTCACCATCTCCAAAACCGATGAATTTTACGGCAACCCGTTTTTTCAAAAGGGTATCGAGGAGAATAAACTGGAGCTGTTGGTCTTTCTTTTTTTTTTGGTTCCAAATTTCCAATCGATCGAATCGCAGGCATCTGCACGTCCAAGTGCGAGAAGGATGGTCGCCGGAAGTACCGGGATCACGAGTACGTCGACGTGAACGCCAACGCCGCCAGCGGCGGAGGACGCTATATCGTCGTGGTCTTCCTCGCCGGCGAGTTCACAATATGGCGCCCGACGGACAGGTACTCCTCCCTGCTGGAGACGTTCCCCGCCATCTTCGTCGTGAAGCCGAACGAGCTGCGGCAGGTGGTGAAGACCATGTGCGCGGTCTTTCTTCTTCTTTTTTTTTTTTTTTTTCCTTTTGGTTTTAATTTTATCTTTTGGTTTTAATTTTTTACTTTTAATATCTTCAACTATGGCATTTCTACATGTTTTAATTTTTGTTTTTGGGATTTTATTTTTATATTTTGATTTCCAATGGGGTATAATTATTCCACATGGCATAATTGAATTAATAAATCCAATTCAAGCCGCCATGTCATGCTATGTCAGATAAAAAATATGCCACGTGACGCCACGTCAATTTTTAATCCGGGGACGAATAAAATAGGACCAATTTTGATTAAATGGACAATTTATAGACCCATAATGAAAGTGGCCAATGGCAGGGTGCATTTTTGAAAAGTGGCCAAGTTAGAGGACCAATCTTGAAATTATGCCGGTAAAATTAGATGCACGAGAGGTAATCATCGAATCACGTTACAAACCCGAGCAATTGAGGGTCAGGAAGGGCCGGTTCAAGGTGCAATAGCACATCACCATGTATATTACCTAATTGAATCAACTAGCTAGTTAAAATTGTTTATTCAATCAATAAGCTACCTACTAGCTAAATATCACAAATATTGTATTCTAAATAAATACTCTTATTTTTTTTTATTTGAATTTGACATTACTTTAGCTAAATATATCACAATAATATTGTATTTTAAATATATATATTTTTTTGTTTTATTATTAAGAGAGTTTGTCCTAACTCATAAGGACGCCTACAAAGCATGTCTAAGACCAACTCCAACCGAACGCAAAAACCTAAAAAATGCAGTGAAATCACTCCAGTCGAACGCCAAACCGAAACTCTAAATGAGTTTTTCCCTTTCTCTCTCCACCTTCAGACGCAAATTTGCGTTTGTACGCAAAATTTGCGTTTCATCTCTTCATATTAGGTTAGATGCCCAAATTTGTTTTAAATTATCCAAACACCCACGATATATATATATATATATATATATAATTATTCTTGTGGTAAATATATTAATACTTATGTATATGTAACCTTAAATACCATATTCATAAATGAAATTGAAAAATATATATTTATATAGAACTTTTATTTGTGTATATAATATACTAGTACAATGCCCGTGTATTACACGGGTGCTTGCTAATTTTTTCTTAAAATATAAAATTAATGAGAAAAAGTAGTTGAAGATTTAAATATCTTTTATAAATATATATATTATTATATATTTAGTATGACACTTTTTATTTGTGCAACTTACATGTGTTATATTATAATAATTTTTTAAACTTACAACATATAACTACATTAATCATAAATATATCAATTGAGAAATAGTTTTATTTTTCTAATGATTTTAATAAATATTACTATTTTTTATTATTATAAAGATAAATATAATTTATTTATTTCATATATATAATATGGATGTCAAATCGAAGATCATCAAAAGATGATTAATTTGATATATTATATATGTAAAACCGATTAAAAAATACAAAAGTTATCAACTTTTAAAATATATTTATAATTCAATAGCTAATTGAAGGAAACAAATCAAAAGTCAGGGATATATTAGTCACTTAGTGCCTCAGTATGTAAAATTACAAAGAAATAAAGGGTTATATTAGTACAAGTGATATCAAAATACCAAAGTTAGCTAAATAATATTTATGGAATGTCCAAACCTAAATTATTAATTCTTAATATATCAATATTATTTGTTCAAACCTAATTACGAAGCATGATTCTTTGCCAAGTAAGATTCCGAAGCACCAGAAGCAGCCACGTAGGCTCAGCGCATTCGCGAATAATATAGAGGGAGAAAGGTTATATTTGAAGCTAATATTATTAATTTTTTTAACTGTATGTATGAATATATATTTAGTTATAGCTAATATAATTAATATTTTTATCTATAAATATGTATATATATATAATATATATATAATTTATATTATAGTTAAATGTGATATGGAGTTGAAAAGAATTATTATATACTACACAACTAGAAGTGAAAATTGAAAGAGTGTGGTGAAAATATCACATGTATTTCTCAATGATTAATAAATATTAATTTGATATTTTTTAGTTTTATAAATTTATAATTAATTTTATTATATATATATTTTTTAATATAATATACATAATAACAAGGTATAATTTTTTTATAAAATTAATAAATACGTGGGTGATATCGAAAAATAAAAAAGTTGAGGAGAAAAAGAATATTATTGGAATATACTTTTAGGGTTTGAGAATGGATTTTTCGATTGGAGAAAATTTAATGTTTAATGTGACAATTACTGTAAAATGTGTTTGAAAATAGATTTTTCGTTTAGAGATGGTCTAAAGTTCAAAATAATAGGCGATTTCATCATATTCTGTGAAAAAAGCTCTCGAAAGTTTAGCCATTGGATTGTGCATGAATCCAACGGCTAAAATCTCATGACGTAGTACGGATGGAGATTGCCTGGAACAATTAGCCGAGCCGAGACCCAAGCCTGTGGTTGGGGAGGTTAATGAGTTATTGACTGATTTTTGACTCGTAAAGCGTTTTTATCAGCTTATTAATGGATTTTTTCAGCCTTTCCAAAGGAAAAGCATCACACACACACACACACACACACACACAGTCTCTCTCCTCCCTATTTGCTCTGTTGTACCAGTATTTTCTCTCTCCTCTTCTCGTTTCATCTGAATAAAAAATCCAAATCTCACTCTCCCAGCCCATATGGCAACCACCGACTTCCAGGACTGGGAGCTTCTCCACTCCAGCTCCGACTCTGATTCCGCCCCGCTCAGCTGCCCCGACTCCGACGAGTCTTTCAACGAGATTGACGCCGGAGGTTTGATTCAGGTCAATTATTTCTCCTTGGATGCTCATAATAGTTTCGGGGAGGACATGGGTGATGATAAATCCGCTGCCGAGTCCGATAATCCTAGCTGGATCGATCCCGAGTCGGAGGGGAAACCGACCCGGTACATCAATAGGGAGTCCGGCGAGTTTTGGTCCGATTCCGGCAGCGACAGGTCCGAAGACCGGAAAGTTGGCCAAACGGAAGCGAAAAAGGAAATGTTTTTTTCCCACGACGAGGAAAGGGAAGTCAGGGTTGAAGGGGCTGGCGAAATATTGGAGGAGGATTTGGGAGTCGAAATTAGCTCCACCGAACATGGAGACGTTTCGTGCCAAGAAAATAATGTAATGGAGAGGAATGAGAGTGGGGACGAGGTTATGGTGGATGGCGAAAGCAAGGAAAATGGCGAGCTTAAGAAGAGGAGTATGGTGTGGTGGAAGATGCCGGTAGAGTTTCTTAAGTACTGTGTGTTTAGAATGAGCCCTGTGTGGGCCTTCTCGGTTGCAGCTGCTGCTATGATGGGGTTTGCCATTTTGGGCCGAAGGTTGTACAAGATGAAGAAGAGGACAAAGGGATTGGAGATCAAGGTTACTGTTGATGGCAAGGTTAGAGCTTTCTCGTGGATTTTAGTTACTTGCATGTTTCTGTGCCGGTATCTATTTATTTCATTTGCAGAATTGCACAATTGGAGATGAAAGCTTGCTTGTGTGTTAATAGTGAGAGATGTATTTGAAAATATGCACTGTTTTCGTTTGTTTGATTATGAATAATTGTTTGGTTGTGTGTTATCTATCATGTCAGAAACTGAATGATTGAATTTGTATCTATTCTAATGGTTCACCTCTTGGGGGTGGGCTGATCAAAAGACATGTTTCATAGCATATAAAGTTGGATTTGTCTTTGTTGATCATACTTTGTTCATAGTAACCTGGTTAATTGTGTCCATTCTGAAAATTTGAGATATTTTGTTAAGTAAATACTCCAAGAGACACAATAAAATGGGGAGAACTTGGAACTTTTGTAATACTTGGGTGAGAAAAGGTGTACTTTTCAATTTATGTGGTAATCACTTGAGACTCAATAAATTTGTTTGATCATGAAGTATGTCATCTGCTATTTAGAGGAAATGAACTTTGTTCACAATCGATCGGTGTCTGATGGAGATTACAGTCTCAATTCGAACATTTGATTTGTGAGAGGCAGCTGGTTTTGACTCAGAGTGCTTGTGCTCTTGCCATTTGGCTTCTGTTTGAAAACCTTGGGCCTCTGTGATCATTCTCAAGCATTTGTTTATTCTCATCATTATTGTACTAAGTATTTGCAGTTAGGTATGCACATGTGGACTCGATTTTAATGTTGAATGGCTCACTACAGAACTAGGCTATTTATTGCACAAAAATGGTAGTTGCCTCATTGATGATTTAACTATTCCATCTTTATGAATATGTCTGCCTTGAAATTTATGAATGATTGGGACTTATATCTTTGAATATTGTAAGATCTGCAAAAGATAAATTCTTGTGTGGAAAAAATTAATCCTCACAGGAATTGTAAAGCTATTTAGTAAATGCATGTAGTAGGTGATGCATGGTGGCTCTCTTTGTGTGGCCGAAACTGATTTTCCAGACATATAGTACATATGTGTCGTGCTACAAGCTTAAATCATTTGACTTTATTTAAGTCATAGCATAAATTAATCCTGAGATTCAGTTAATGGTAGAATGAGTACTCAACCATCTTTTAGAAGTTAAAACCACAAAAATAACCCTCTTTGATACACTTTACAATATTGCAATTAGCATCCTTGATGAATGATGGGTCATGTATTTTTATTCCTCGTGTAATTGAGTGTACCATTGACCAAGAACTTTTATCTTTTGCCATTGTTTAATTTTTGTTTTTGCAGAATGTCTCTCAAGTTATGAGCCGTGCTGCCCGATTGAATGAAGCTTTCTCAATTGTGAAAAGGGTTCCAGTGATTCGACCCTCGCTGCCTGTTGTTGGCTCGACTACCACCTGGCCTATAATGAGTCTGAGATAACTCGACAAAACATATTTGCGTGTAAGACAAGAGACACGGTGTTGAGTTTGAGCAAATGCGTAGGCCTTGGATATTTTACTACTGTATATTCTGTGTGTATATGCTTCATTTTTCCTTTTTACAACTGATAAGTTTGCGTCACATTGGTATGTTTCGAGAACTCCACATGTTGCTTTCGAGCCATTTGGTTGGGTTGGATGTGCTAAAAATATGCTATATTTCAGTATACCGACTGATACAATTGATTACTATCTCTTGTTCTTTATAATCATTCACCTCATAAACTGAGGAAAAGTTCATGATTTTCTATTTTGTTTATTTGATTGATTTCTTTTTCAGTAGTCATTCTACTCATAATCTCCAGCTAACTGAATCACATTTATGATAAGAATTTATTCAACATGCACAAAAAATCTTCATCATACAACCACCATTATCTACACAACTAGATACTTGACTTTATGCATATTGTAGAACAGCAGTAAGCAGTTTTGCCTACTTTTCGTGGTCCACATGACCTGCAACTCTTATTAGAAGTAAGAAAATGTTGCAATTGCAGACCCCACCACCATCATCATCCTCAAGCTTTGCATTTCGGCAACGGTGACCCACACAAGCAATCATTTCCGGCGAAAGCACTAGGCGGAAACTTTGTTGCCGGCAGCTGACCACACAAGTGATTATAACTCACGTTCAACTTTGAAAGTCCTGTCACTGCCTTAGGCACCTTCCCGAACAACGAATTCCTCGACAGATCAAGAAACCTCAACGTCCTAGCAAACTTGGTATTCTCTAAGGTAAATTTCAGATTGTTGTTAGAAGCGTAAAACCCCACGAGATAATCTGTTCTGTTCAGAAGCTTCGCCGGGCTTCCAGTGATCTCATTCTCGGACAAGTCGATGTAGTCGTAAAAGTAAGTCTCGGTCGGATTCCAGTCATCGAGTTTTATCTTGATCCCGCATTTTGCCAGTTTCAAAGAGTAAATGATGGGCGAAATCGTGATCCACTCCGGGATTTTGCCTAGGTGGAAATTATTGTAAGATAAATCGAGGGACTCGATACCTCTGACGTGCAATTTCGGAAAAGGGTCGACTAAATTGTTGCGCGACAGGTCAAGATTGAAAATTTTGGTCAGGTTTGCGAAAGTCTTTGGCACGGTTCCGGAGAATTTGTTCCGGGAGAGGTCCAGCGTGTCGAGGGCCCGAAATTTTCCAAGAAAATCAGGGATCGGGCCGGTCAGGGAATTACCTCCCAGCTCAAGATAGCGAATGTTGGGGGCGGTTGCTAAAATGCTCGGTGGAATCGTCCCGGTGAGCGTGTTGCCCGAGAGGCGCACGCTTATGAGGCTTGTGAGTTCCGAGAACATGTCAGGAATCGGGCCGGACAGCTGGTTTCGGTCCAAATGCAGTTGGGTCAGGTTTCTTAGCCGCCGGATGCTGGTGGGGATGGTGCCGGAGAAGCGGTTGCCGCCTAGCTGCAGCCGGGTCAGCTGAGTCAACTCGCCGACCGAACTCGGTATGTGCCCAGAAAATTTGTTCCCTTCCAGGTTGAGCACGTCGAGCCGGGCCATCCTCCGGATGTCAGCGGGTATGGGCCCGGATAGCGCGTTGTTGTCGATGTAGATGAAGAGAAGGTTGGGCAGAGTAAGGAGAAAGCTGGGGAAAGGCCCGGTGAGGTTGTTGAGGTCCTGGAGATAGATTCCGTCCAGATACCGGAGCTTGGAGAGGGAGGAAGAGATGGTGCCCGACAGGCCGGCGGTCAGGTTTCCGGGACGGCCCGAGAGGCTCAGGGAAGTGACCCGGGTGCCACTCAGACACGTGACGCCTGACCATTGGCAGCAGTCGGTGCCTTTCTTCCAGGAGGCCAGCATGGCGGACGGGTCGGAGCGGATGCCCGATTTGAAACCCAGCAGCCCGGACTCATCGTCCACGTGGCACCTGGCGGATGCGGATAAGAAGCAGCGAAGGGCGAAAACAGCAGCAAATATGAAAAGGATTATTTGTGAGGGGAGAGAGTTCATTGTGTGACCTGAAGATGGAATTAAAAAAATGGTGGTGGTGCAATAAATAGAAAAGTCTACTACGCAATGCTGCTCTTGTTGTGCGTGTTGATCAAACTCCAACAGTATGTCAATATTGGTGTTCGAGACCTAACATGCTAACATGTGAACGGATAAAGATACATACATTGATACATATGTAATGTGGCCCCCGCACTTTCTGCAAACAAGTTGACAGACATCCTAATTGCTATTCATTCTATTTTCCTTATCTCTCATCATTCATTTTTATTAGTTTTATGTTCAATTTAGTAAAATTTGATTACTGGTTTTTCTTAGTGTTTGCTTGCTTCAATTTATGTTTGTGTTCTTTATTATAGATCATGTTTTGTAGTGCATGTGTTGTTGTTGTTGTTGTTGTTGTTGTTGTTGTTGTTGTTCATGGATGGATTATGCTTATGCAGTGCAATTGTTTAAATTGTGAACCTATCATCCTACAGCTATATATGAATGAATTATATAGGTAAACCTCACATATTTCATTACTTGGCAACTCAAAAAAATCTTGCTGCACCCTTTTATTGATTTATGCCATATTTTTCTTTCTTTTGAGACTACAAATATCCAACGGGCCACAGTAAGATTAGTAGCCGGCCCATGGGCCGTTTTATGTGAGCCATGAATGAACTTGCCATGGATCAACAAACAAAGTAAACCCATTTTTTTATTACATATATTCAAGAGGATATTGCACCCCTTACTAGTCCCTTTAAATTATATTACATCTTTGTACCTTTTATATACTTTGATATGGGATATTATATACTAGACCGGTTCGGAGGACACTCCAAAGAGTAGCGTATGGGTGTGGTCGAGCAGTACCAACAGGTCCATAGAAACTCTAGCACCTGGTCGAGCAGGGACGTTCCAACGAGTACAGGCACAGGACCAATCGTCTCTTGTCTCCGGAGCAGTTACACGTGAGGACACATGGACGGATCTGGTCGACGGCCAGAATATGCCAAAGGATCTCCGTCACATGGAAGGTGGACACGCGGCGTTGTGTGAATGGGCCAAGGGATAACGAACTCTGACATTCTCTGGCGCAGCTGACGCGTTTTCTGACACCGGAGAAAGTGGAGACGCGCGACCGTACGGATGAGCAAAGGATGGAGGGCGAGACTCGCCTAATCGCGCGTGGCCAACAGGTAACTCGTCCCTATAAATAGGGACGAGGATTATCGCTTTTAGATAACTTCTGATTTTCTCATAATTTCAGAGACACATTTTCTATCTCTCAAGATCTGACTTGAGCGTTGGAGGCTCTTCACCGAAGAACACTTCCGGTGTGAGAGTTTTGTGCAGGTTCAAGCGTTCGACCGGTGGAGGAAGTCGTGCTAGCTGCGGTTTTCAGTCGGGCGAGCGTTAGACTTGTATTATTGGCGCCGTCTGTGGGACTTATGTTCAAAAAGTCGTGTTCGAGCATTAACCATGGCGGACGGAATTCCCCGAATGAATTTGCAGTCGTCGTTCGACGATGCGTGGACGACGACAAGGCCGATGGGAACAGGGCCTCCCCCTGGTTTCTCTGCACCCTCACAGACCCCGGTGACCCTTACACCGATGCCTCATGGCGCGGCGACATCCGGCGTTGGAGAAGGTACGAGCAGGGACCAGGAAGCTCGCGGAATAACCGCAACGACGGTTGTTGCGCCGTCACAAGTGGGTCCAGTGGTAGCGCAGCAGATTGGGCCGGTGGCGCAGACAGTGCCGTCACCAGTAGGAGAGGTACCACAACCCCCGGCTCCACAAATGGTGACCATGACCAGAGAGGAGATGCAGCGAATGATAGCCAACGCGGCGGCGCAGGCTGTGCAACAGGTTACTCACCAGACATCCCAGGCTACTACCACGCCGACCACGGTGCAGGCGACCCAGGAGGAAGATGTTTCGAGCTACGGAGGGGGAGGAGAGCCCAGAGATAGGGCAATGGAAAGAATGGCTGAGCAGCTACGACAATTGCAGAAAAGGATCGAGGGAAGGTCAGACAGGCGTGCTCGAGGACACCCCTTTTCGAGGGAAATACTGGCCGCCCCGTTGCCTGTCACTTTCAAGGAGATAAGCTTGATCTTTGATGGCTCGAGCGACCCAGCGAGGCATGTTCGAGCATTTGAAAATATGTCCGTGTTGCACTGATATTTGGACCCAGTTAGTTGCAGAGCGTTCTTGTCGACCCTTCGGGGAGGTGCCCTTGATTGGTTCCATCAATTAGCCCCCGGGTCGATCAAAGATTTCGAAGATTTTGCAGGGCAACTCACCAACCAGTACGCGAGTGCAGTCGCGCAGGAGAAGACATACCTTACTCTGATGGCAATGCGGCAGGGTGAGAAAGAGTCGCTACGGAAATACGTGGCCCGATACAATCAGATGTGCTTAGAAGTGCCCACGGCTGTCGACGAGGTGAAGGCGGGAGGACTAATCAGGAGTCTACGACCGGGACCTTGTCGGACGTCGTTGGCAAAGACGCCCGCTCGAACTTATGAGGAGGTGTTGAAGAGGTGCAAAAAATACATTAACCTGGAAGAAACGGAGGCCGAGTTTGCCAAGCTCGAAGAAGTGGCAAGGCCCGACCAAAAGAGGGGAAAGCCAAACTCACCCAGACGGGAGTCGCCCAAGAGGAATCCTCAGAAGAGTGGCTCGTTCAGGAGATTGTCGCCCAAGAGAGATGGGCGAAATTCGTTTCAAGGAGGACGGGAAGATCGTTGGCAAGGGCGACCGCGACTACCCAATGGGCAGAGATATAACAACTTCACTCCACTTAATGCCCAGATGGGTGAAGTCCTAGTAGCCATGGAGGAAAAGCTGGATGGTAAGGAAATCACGTGGCCAGCGACAAGATTCGATGGACCGACCAAGCCAAGGTCGGGCAGATACTGCAGATTCCATAGGGATTATGGACATAACACGGCGGACTGCAGACATCTGAAAGACGAGATTGAACGCTTAATAAGAGCAGGACATTTGAAGGAATTTGTCATCCAGGACCGACCGCGAGGAAAGGAGAAAAGGAGGTGCAGGGAGGGGTCAGTGATGAGAAATGACAGGGACGATGATAGAGAGGATGACGACAGGAGGGAGAAAAGGAGTCGAGAAAATGATCCTCGAGAGGAGCCTAGGAGGGAGCTTCCACTAAAGAGAGGCACTATTTACATGATTTCTGGAGGGCCCACGGATGGGGACTCCAACAATGCACGAAAGGGACACGTGCGAGCGGCAAAGCGAAAGAGAGAGGAGGTTGGGATAACTGGTCGAATGCCGGTGATTAGCTTTCGAGCAGAAGATGCAGAAGGGATTTTATTGCCCCACAATGATGCGCTTGTTATCACTGCAGAAGTGGCTGGTTTCGATGTGAAGAGGGTGTTCATCGACACAGGCAGTTCGGTCGATGTCATGTTCTACGACTGCTTCGCGCAGATCAACAAACACCTGAATCTGGAGCTGAAGCCGGTGTCGACGGCCTTGTATGGTTTTAACGGGGGAGAGGTAATGCCGATGGACGAGGTGAATCTAACTGTGGCGCTAGGGTCGGGCGACACCAGGAAGGTGAGGATGGTGCGATTCGTAGTAGTGGGAGCAGAATCGTCCTACAACATTATATTAGGACGAACGGGATTGAACGCGTTCCAGGCAGTCGTGTCTACATACCACATGACGATTAAATATCCGGTGGGCGAAAATGTGGGCGAGATTGCTGGAGACCAACTTACGTCGAGGAGTTGCTATCAGACCACCGTTAGCAATAACAAGCAAATGGCGAGGAGGCAGGAGAAGAAGGGGGAGGATGGACCCGATCGACCAGGAGGGTCGAGGTCAAAGGAGGAGAAAGGGTGGCAAAGCAAGGGAAAAGAGAAAATGGACATGCAACCGGGAGGTGAAGTGGAGGAGGTCCAGATGGTAGAAGGGGAGGATGATCGAAAGTTCAGAATTGGAAAAGAACTAGGCGAGCCGATCAGATCAAGATTGATCGACTTGATCAGGGAATTTGCGGATATCTTCGCATATACAGCAGAGGAGCTAACCGGGATCGAGGCTGCGGTAATCGAGCATCGTTTGAACATCGATCTTACCGTAAAGCCGGTGAAGCAAAAGAGGAGGCATCATGGAGCGGAGATGGACAGGATAATAGAGCAAGAGGTTGAGAAGCTCTTAGATGCCGGACATATAAAGAGGATCCAATTTCCTGAATGGCTGTCAAACACGGTCATGGTATCCAAATCAGGAGGAAAGTGGAGGATGTGCATTGATTTCCGTGACCTTAACAAAGCATGCCCGAAGGATCTGTACCCATTGCCGCGAATCGATCAACTGGTCGACTCGACGGCGGGTTGTGAACTCCTCAGCCTGATGGATGCCTCGCAGGGTTACCACCAAATCCCTTTGGCGAAGGATGACTGGAAAAGGGTGAGTTTTATAACAAGCAGGGGTACCTATTGTTATGTGGTGATGCCGTTCGGGCTGAAGAATGCAGGGGCGACGTATCAGAGGTTGGTCGACCAAATTTTCAAGGACCAGTTGGGAAGAAATATGGAGGTATATGTGGACGACATGTTGGTCAAGAGCAGGAGGGAAGAAGATCATACAGGCGACCTAAGGGAAACATTCCAAACTTTAAGAAGGTATGGTATGAAGCTTAACCCCGTTAAATGCTCGTTTGGAGTGAAAGCGGGAAAATTCCTGGGCTATATGGTGACCAAGAGGGGAATAGAAGTGAACCCAGAAAAGGTGCGGGCGGTCATCGAAATGAAGCCGCCCGCCAGCGTGAAGGAGGTCCAAATCCTAACTGGTCGAATAGCGGGTCTGAGCAGATTTATAGCCAAGGTAGCTGAGAAGAGTGGCCCCTTGTTCAAAACATTAAAGAAGAGCTCGAGATTTCAATGGACAGAGGAAGCGCAGAAAGCTTTCGAGGAGTTGCGGCAAATGCTGGTGAATTTGCCATTACTAGCTAAACCGGTGCCTGGGGAGGAACTCATACTGTATATATCTGTGGGCGAAAACGCGGTAAGCTCGGTGTTGCTGCGCGAAGAGGGAGCAGCTCAGTTCCCCATATATTATGTTAGCCGAGTGATCCAAGGAGCGGAGTTGAAGTATTCAGAGATTGAGAAATGCGCGCTGGCGGTGGTCATGACGGTCAGAAAATTGCGACCGTACTTCTTAAACCACAAGGTCAGGGTGCGGACGAACATGCCCTTAGCGCAAACATTGGGTCGGCCAGCTGTATCTGGTCGACTCGTAAAGTGGGCGGTCGAGCTGAGCGAATACTCTATAGAATACGAGCCTAGGAGGGCGATTAAAGCCCAGGTTTTGGCAGACTTTATCCAGGAGGGTACAAAGGAGGAGAACCCAGAAGGAGAGTGGCAATTGTACGCGGATGGCTCGGTGTCGAGGAGCGGGGCCGGTTTGGGGATAGTCCTGGTCTCGCCCAAAGGCGATTATCTGGAGTTTGCTGTCAAGATGGGATTCCGCGTGTCAAATAACGAGGCAGAGTACGAGGCAGTGATAAAGGGGTTACAATTAGCTCTGATCGGGGGTGCTCGAAAGATCCAGGTCTATTCGGATTCCCAATTGGTGGTCGGCCAGTTTCAGGAAGGTTTTGAGATCAAAGAGGACCGACTGCAACGTCTTGTGAACAATATGAAAAAACTGAAGGAAGATTTTTCGACGTTTGAATTAATACAAATACCTCGGGGAGAGAATGGCAGGGCGGATCTGTTATCTAAAATCGCTCAGAATCTGGTAGACTGCAAGAGCAGGAGTGTAACCTTACTACACATGGAGAAAAGCACGGCTGAGGCCGAGGTAGCAGAAATTGAGGAGGTGGAAGATTGGAGGTCCTCGATCCAGAAAGAACTGCGAGAAGGAGCACTAAAAGTAATAAGGAGATTTTTCGAACAAAGCGGGGTGCTCTATAAACGATCTTACGCAGGCCCACATTTGAGGTGTGTGTCCAGAGAGGAAGGTCGATGCGTTTTGCGAGAAGTGCACGAAGGGTGTTGTGGAGATCATAGTAAGGCGGGAGCCATGGTCGCGAAAATCTTAAGAGCTGGTTATTTTTGGCCGACAATGAAGACGGATGCGAAGGAAGTGGCCAAAAGATGCCTGCAGTGCCAAAAGCACGGCCCACTTATACATCAACCGGCGGAGACGATGACCACAATGAGCGCACCAATCCCGTTCGCACAATGGGGGATCGATCTGGTGGGGCCAATGCCGCAGGCAACGGGACAGCGTAAGTTTCTGATCGTCGCGGTCGACTATTTCACAAAGTGGGTAGAGGCTGAACCACTGGCCAAAATCACGGAAGAAAAAGTAATCCAATTCCTGTACAATAACATTTGTTGTCGATTTGGAGTCCCTAAAGTCTTGATATCAGATAATGGGACCCAATTCAATGGTAAGAGAGTGAGGGCATGGTGTGAAGAGATGGGAATCGAGCAACATTTCGCCTCGGTCGCCCACCCTCAGGCCAACGGGCAGGTGGAGGTGACCAACAGAATCATATTGAATGGCTTAAAGACGAGATTGGAAAAGGCCTCGGGGGCCTGGGTCGACGAATTAACATCTGTGCTCTGGGCATACAGGACCACCCCGAGGTCGACCACGGGGGAGACACCGTTCAGCCTGGTCTATGGAATGGAGGCACTCTTGCTAATTGAACTGGAGTTGCCATCCCAGAGGGTAAACACTTATAATCAAGAGCATAATG